CAAGAACACTTGATAGCTTCAAAAGACATCATTTTCTGTTTCTACAGGCCTATCCTTCGTAAGCGTTTAGCGTTATTTTTATTATTGTTGTTCTGTACCTACGTCTGAATGAAAATAGTCCGTGTGTGTGTGTGTGTGTGTGTGTGTGTGTGTGTGTGTGTGTGTGTGTGTGTGTGTGTGTGTGCGTGCGTGCGCGCGCGCGCGCGTGCGCATACATATAATATATATCGCATGAGAAGAAAGGTTTTTGAAAATGGGTATTCCAATTTAAAGCGTATTGAGATACTTTTTGGAAATGCGCTATATAAATGTTTTGTATTATTATTACTTATTATTATTTATTATCATAACCCACACTCCTCCCCCTCCGCCCCACACCCCCAGGCCTGCTCCAATACGCCGGTGACGTAACCATCTCCCCTGACGCCTACGCCTGGACAGCTGTGCTGATTCTGCCCTTCAACTCGGCCCTCAACCCGCTACTGTACACACTGCCCAACGTCCGGGAGAAGTGGGTACGTGGCTCCTCAAGACTTGACATGTCTTTCCATGGGTTCTTTGACATGTCTTTCCATGGGTTCTTTGGCATGTCTTTCCATGGGTTCTTTGACGTGTCTTTCCATGGGTTCTTTGACAAGTCTTTCCATGGGTTCTTTGACATGTCTTTCCATGGGTTCTTTGACAAGTCTTTCCATGGGCTCTTTGACATGTCTTTCCATGGGTTCTTTGACATATCTTTCCATGGGCTCTTTGACATGTCTTTCCGTGGGTTCTTTGACATATCTTTCCATGGGTTCTTTGGCGTGTCTTTCCATGGGTTCTTTGACAAGTCTTTCCATGGGTTCTTTGCGGGAGAAGTGGGTACGTGGCTCCTTAAGACGGGACATGTCTTTCCATGGGTCCTTTGACGTGTCTTTCCATGGGTACTTGGACAAGTCTTTCCATGGTTTCTTTGACAAGTCTTTCCATGGGTTCTTTACGGGAGAAGTGGGTACGTGGCTCCTCAAGACTTGACATGTCTTTCCATGCTCCTTGCAATATAGCGCGCGCTCTTTGGCTTAAAGGGGAAAAAAAGCCCGTAGTTTTGAGTAAACTTGAAGTGTGTTTTCTTCTCCACAGAAAAAATACAGGCTGCGAAAACAACGCGAAGCGGAAGGAAAAGGTAGAGGAATTAAGTTGATGTGTGTTTAGTTCCTTCGTCCCATTCTTTTTGTTCATATATAGTCTCTTATAGACACGAATGTTTCCTACTTTTCTAGTTGCAAACTTTATCTATAATTACGATACAGAGTCAAAGGAAAACATTTAGTTTAGTTTTAGTAAGAGTTTTACGACAATTGCAACACTATAAGGTCATAATATAAGTGCCGAAGAATAGATGTGTTACAAAGGAGTAACAAACATAAAAAAGAAGGAGGGGAGATAAGGACGATAGATGTTTGATAGAAAGGAAGGAGCAAACCACACCAGAGCACCCACCAACCACCCACTGAAGGGAACCGTTGGTGCATAACCCCGTAGGCTACTTTATTCAGTTGATAAATTACAGAAGACGTCTGCATAAGATGACGCAAGATTGTTTTCTAAAATAGCACAGAGTAGTAGTTACATCATCATCATCATCATCATCATCATCATCAATGCCTTTCACCCCTGGCAGGGTATAGGCCACATACAAGCTCCTTCCATTTATCTCT